CTGCCTCCCAGTCCTCAGCCAATCGGTGTGAGCCATCCACCCTGGATGCACCAATCCCGGAGGAGCACCTGGACACTCAAATTCACACATGATTACGATCACAGTCGTAACACGGAATAAAAATAGGTTTTCAATCTGGACTTAAAGACCTACACTGATGACGCTTGTCTAATATGGAGGGGAAGGTTATTCCAAAGCATGGGAGCCGCAATAGAGAACGCTCGGTCTCCTCTGAGTTTCAGCCACCTAGGACCTAGGAACCGACAGCAACAGCTGCTCAGCTGAGTGCTGAGTAGGAACATGTGGCTTCAGCAAATCAGATAAGTAGACAGGAGCCAGGCCATTTAAAGGTTTAACAAACAATAAAAGGACTTTAAAACGAATCCTAAATTCAATGGGAAGCCAATGTAAAGAAGCCAGAACTGGAGTGATGTGCCCGGTGGGCAGTAAGCAACTGGAGGCTTCCCACCCAGTCACAGTGGGAAAATTGTCAGCTACTGGTAGTTTCCCATGGCTTTTGTTTGGATGTGCAAGACAGATACTGTTGATCGTTGCTCAATACCCCCCACCCCCAGTGGTTGCTACCTTTTAGAGTTTGGCGGCCCCGCAGTGCTGTTTTCTGCTACTTTCATGAAGAGTTGTGTACCAGTTTTTGAACTTGGATCTTTTCAGTTCCAAGGTTGTGAAGACAAAGTTGTTAGTCGGTGATGCAAATGGTGATATATTCTTATACAGATGACTGGATCTCTCTTGCAACAGTGCACCTTGGAAGATGTAGTTAGTGCCTGGCTTGAAATTATTATTCTCACAGGATTGTGTGCTCATCCGCGTAATTTTTTCTCATCATTTGAACTGCTGATTTAACCAGTTTTTGTGCCCCCTCTAGCAGAAGGGCTCCTAGCCTCGTAAGCCAATTAACATTATCAACTGAGAAAATTACTGGTTGCAAGTATGACTTTTATGAAGTGCACATCTTCTCTTATATTAATAAGTGAAAACATTTTCAGCAGAAGGAAATCACACTGTTGTTACTGCATCAGTGGGCACTAATAAAATTATCCTTTTTTAAATAATAAATCTGGTAAAATAGTTACTGTAGTCCACTTCAAATTATATAGACAAGCTGTGATTATTGCAAAACTGTTAATGTACTGGTTGTACTCTTAAATTTCAACACAGTGAGGCACAAATTGATAGTTGTTTTATTTATTCATTACGTGGACACATTTATTTCACAAAAATGGATGCAATAAGCGGTCACACTCTTGCAAAGCTTGTGAGAAACCCTAAATAGAAAGCATAAGAAAAACTATTTGCGTCATCCCTGTGATTATGACTATGTGAGATATACTGCCTGCAGCGAGCCAGTCAGTTTAAATTTTTATTCCTCTTCCTCCTCTTAAGCTTTGAATGATGAAATGACGTCACTGAAATTCAGCTTGGTGCATTCATGTGCCATGGAAGAAACTCGTGCTTCATATGACCTCCTTAGTGAGAGTAGCTGGTATGTGCGAGTAAAAACGAACGTGCACAAGAGTAAAAATAGAAATTCTGCTGCAGATTTATTTCATCTAAAAGGTTCATTGTGTGTTATTCTTTCATTCTTCAAACACTGCTGAGTGTCACTCCTACACCTTTTGAGAAGGTGTTCCTAAGATTTTCTGGAAACCGACTTCATTTCAAGTGTGTCATGTTTAGTTGTTTGTGATCTTTGGGGCTAAACAGGAGGTCTCATGGTGAGACTTGACATTTGCGTGGAAACCAGATGGTGGGCCAGGTTTTGATCTTTGCAAAAACATGCAATAGCGTGCAAGCTGAGGAAGGGGAGGAGCACATGCTCATATGCCATCTTCCCCATTTAACTTTTGAAAAGCTTAATTTGCAGAATTTTATCACCGATTATTGCGAAAACCTCAGTAAATACACAAACTAATGTGAAAGTATTACTGTGTAAGACTTTTTCCAGGTCAGCCAGGATTACTGGAGCCAAGGCACAAATAAAAATGGCCCAGGCTTCAGTAATTCAATAGTCCATTGTGTATTTGTCATTGTATGAAGAGAAATGGTGCATTGTACCTGAATAATCTGGCACGAATATGCATGTGCATGCTTTTAGCTTAGGTCAGGGTAAAACATGCGGCCATCTTTTTGAGCTTTATGCAAATGGATGTAGACATTTAGGATAATGGAACATCATGCTTTATTAAGACTTATAACATGTAATATTTAAAATAAAAAGTGTTGTTAGCGCAATGATGATTAGAATATAGTGAATACTTCATAGACATGACCTAATTGTGAAAACTAAAGTCACTGAGCAGCAAATAATGGTATCATTAAAATTGTAGACACATCTCAGTAGATGTAAATGACAAAACAGATGTGTTATAACCATGAAATACAGGAACGTACGCCTACACTTGTCAAAATTAAGCTCCACTGAGCATAAACCCCCTTACCTGCTAGCTGTTTCATTTCTCATAGTGGAAAAACAACACCCAAAGCATGCTGTCATCTCTCTGTGAGAACGGCCACCCATCACTGCTTCAATAGGTGTCAAAGGCCAACCTACCCCTTTTTCTGGCTATTTGACAATATGACAGTTCTGAATTGCCTGTGCTACCTGCTTTATCTCAAACACTGACACCCTTAGGAAGGAGGAGAAAATAGAAAATGTATCTCTGAGATTTGAGGCCTTTTGGTTACTTTCTTAATTCCTAAAAACAGATTTGAGACTTAATTTTTCCTGCTGGGTCTTTTTAGAATTTATGCCACCTCTTTTGATGATGTTTTAATGGGAAATGACGCACTGTCTTTGGTCGATTGCTGATTGATAGGTGTTTAATTAATTCCAATTACTGAGTCTAAGTGGGTGTAATTGAGTCCATATAATTGGCTTGAACCTGCACTGCATAACATAGCTAATTGCTTTTGTCTCAGTCTTCATGATACGTGAGGTCATCTTGAATAGGTTTACATCTCAGACAACTTGATATGTGATTATTAATTTCCTCAAAGTAGGTTTAAATTGAAATCACTGCTGTTAGTTCCGTACATCTTGCTTTTTGTTTTTATAATCTTGATATCATGGCCCATGGGCCAAATCAGGCCAAATACATATTTTAGTTTGCCCGACAGACAAACTCAATAAATTCTTGGCTTCAGAGAGCCACTGAACTAAAAAGGACATACGGCTATAGCACAATGTCTCAAAGTGATGCAACTGGAAAGGGAAATTTCATTTTGTGTGCAGCCAGTTTCAGGTCAGGAGGCTGTGCTGTACATTATGGGTAAATTACATGATTAAAGATCTTCTACTTTTCCTTTCACCAGCAAGGACCACATCCCCGAATACAAATGATAAACGCTTATCAATAATGAAGATGACAGATGAATGAAAAGCAATGAGCTGGGCCAGAGGCTGTGCTTTAGGCGAGGCATCGCTGAAAAAATGGGGAGAGGAAAAACTGGGTGTATGGGATAAGTAGTAAAATATTAAACTGTCTCTTCAGCTGTTGAGTTGTCATACAGTTGTCATGGATGCCTGTGAAACAGACTTTCCAAGACTTTTAGATATATGTGCATTTTTAAAAGACATTTAAAAAAGTGCAGTCATGAAAATCAGCCTGTGCCTTCTGCAGCCCACTAAAATAAAAGACTTTTATGACTTCTTCAGACCCATCTTGGGTGTAACTGCGTTTCTATGCACTTTCTAATTTTCCATTTCCATTTTACTTTTTACATTTTTAAGTGGTTTTCCAATTGTGTGCCTCAAGGCAACTCCAGATGATGGGATTTAGCATCAGCCAAACAACAGCCAAAAGGATAAACTATGGCGGGTGGTAATAACGGATCACTTTGTGGAGAAAGAAAACAAGAGAACAAACAGACAAACGAAATGGAAAGGTAAATTGTTTTTAATCATGAGTGCATCAGTTGTTGTCCAAAGTTAACTAATGCTAAAGAGGCAAAAGCTTAGTTGGAAATCAATAAGAACCGTAGACAACATAAGGCACTTATATCTGCATCTGCAAATATGAGTCAAGATGTGCTTTGGCATGCAGTGAAAAGACTTTTTTTTTGGTTTTGCCTAATTTAAAGCCTAATTAGATTGTATTTCTACTTTATGCTTTGGATTCAGATTAGTTTCAATGAAGCCTGTGAAGTTTTAAAAAGCTGTTGACACGTCTCAATAAAGTAATGAATCAAAGCCTCAAAGGCTGCTTAGGCGATCAGCGTCATTTCTTCTATATTTTATTTCATTTTTGTTATATTTTAAGAACGAAAAATCGTAAACGATATTATTTTTATTTCCGTTAACTAAAATGGACACCTACTTTTAGCGTAGTTAGTTATAGTAACCGTATTTTGGTGTTGGCAAGCTGTACGTGAGCACGTTTCGTTTTGTCCGACTGCACGTGAATGCAGCGCTGCTCCCATCCTACGTGAATGCAGCATAAACTGTTGAGGTGATCCATGGCAACAGAGGAGCAGCAGCCAACCGCCGAGCCTGTCCTACACGCTCACACACACATAACCCCAGTCTCTACTCACTTCTTCCTCAGTGTAGCCGGAATGTACCGAGGAGGAATCACTGTTAACGGCTGCCGCTGACAAATTTCTGTATCAAGGTGACCGACCGGGAGCCAACCCGCCAACCAGCTCCCTGGAAACGGCTGCACATCAGCGCCAGGTGACAGCAGACTGGACCCGCTGAAAACGGACGCATAACGGACAAGATGGTAGTAGCTCATGTTTCCGGACCTTAAAATTACTCATTTCACCCCTCTGGTGTACTATTACCCCGACAGAAGCAAAAATGAAACCAATTCTTAACAGTCTGTGGGCTCAAAAGGCTTCATATTTCTGATTTTTTTTTTTCGGCAAAAACATAAATCCTCCACAGTCCCAGTCCTACACACCGCTCATTAGCACCTTCCAGTTTATTATTGTAATTACTGCCCATATCTTTCTCGAGCATCTGAGGCATCATCGTGAAGATGGCGACTGGGTCGGGTTGGCAGCAGCGCTACTGCCCTGCCGGTCAGGGGAAATTTAGCACATCCTCGGCATCCAGCATGTCTTTTCAGTCCGGCATCGCCATGGAATATACCCAAGACCTACACCTGAAGATGAGCAAGAAGATAGCACAGCTAACAAAGGTAAGGATCCTTTTTTAGGAGGCCTCCTCTGCACTCTCTCTTCAACCCTTGGGTAAGACCCTGTACCTGCTGTTCTGGTGTGAGAACTGGGCACCAAACTCCATTGGAAATTTGCCCGTTTAGCAATTAAACTTGTGTCGGTTTACATGTCTAACGAGCACAACAAGACTGACATTTTTTAGTGGATCTCCTGGGTGTTCTTGTACTTTCGGGGTCCATTTAAGGCAACATTTATTCGTCTGATAAAAAATAATTAACTCCTAAAGTAGGATATGCTCACTACAGCTGTAAATCGCTTTGGTTTAAAGGAAGTTAAAGTTGGATTTAAGTTAAATGCATGCTGCTTGGTGTTTGAATTGTGAGCCGAAAGAAGCAGCAGCTCTGAATGCCTCATGGCATACTGAAATCTAAAAGCATACAAAAGCCGTCAAAGTTTGATATTTTATTTTAGTGAGTTTGGCGTGATTTCTTACCTGGGAGGTACGAGCTGCCCCAAGGTCTGCTTGGATGCTGCATTTTAAGCGAGCAGCGGGTCATCACAATATCAGCCATCTCATTCATTAATCATCTTTAGCAGCACAGATTCTTCCGGCATTTAGTTTTACTTCTCATGCATAAGTGTTGTATGCAGTTAAACTAAACCCTTCCTGAAAACTTTGATCCCTCATAGTATCTATATAGTGTACTGTATATATTTTGGAGATCATTTACAGTATATATGGTTGCTCTAGACCAGCAGACTTGAATGATATTCCTCTACACCACCCGCATCTATGGTCTTTCAAGGGCATTTTAAATGATTTTCACCTCAAAGCGGGATCAGTTCTTTTATGTCACTTGCCAAACTTTGGCGTCTCCAAAACATTGGCTCCATGTCAGCACATGTTTCTGGCTCCAGGGTGTCATTATCATCGAGCTGGGGGGTCCACCAGGCACTTGTACATGTTTCCAGGTGGCTTCTGAAGGGTTTGATGCCTGGAGTTGGTGATATATACTCTGAGGATTTGCCTCTGACTTCTAAGTATAAGATTTGTGCTCTTTTTGTGCTGAGAGAGTGGATGCTTAAAAAAAACGAAAAAACAACAATTCAGCAGCCTTGGGCTAGGTGTGTGCCAAGCCTTAGTGCAGAGTGGACTCTTTAAAGTCACAATGAAATAGAAAAGGATCTTTTCGACCGTGGTAGCTAATTAACCATCGTAATATGCAGCATAGCTTTTAATAATAATTTAAAGGAAATTTCACATGTAATATTTTTGTATTTTTTGCATACATTTTTTAACTTCTTAGTTTTTGTGTTTATTTGCCACAGTTTTGTTCAAATATTATGTAATGTTAAAGGTACAGGGATTTTTCTTCATGGTAATGTTTGGTATTTTATATGAAGATCCAACAGACCCCCTGCCAAAAAACAGTTGTTCATTTTGATTTCATTTATTTAAGTTTAAAAGACATTTTTGTGTATGGCTACTGCAATGCCAAAAGAAATGTTAAGAAACAACAATACCTTTTTTAAAAACTATTATTTTAACTATTATTTTAATTATGGAGGCAAAGTATATGATAGTGGAGCTTATTGTGAAGCAAAAAACCTTGCTTCTCTCAGCCTAGCAGCCTGGGTATGGTCATGTTTTGAATTTAATGTCCTAATTTAACATTGTCTCGTGTCTAAAATTGAATTTTACTTCCTCTGCTGTGATTTTTTTTTTTTGGTCTTCACCTGTGTCTCGTTCCTTCCAGATCTCTCCACTTTCTTGATTACCCTATGTGTATAAATAGTCCTGCCCCTTTCCCTTGGTCTTTGTTGTGGTGTCTATATCTGTTCCTGTGCGTGCCTCATGAAAGGTTTGCTTTTAAATATTTAGTCTGCCTGGAGTCCTGCATTTAGGTCCTTAATTCTGACACCTATGTGCAGGTGCTGTGTCCTGTCATCTGACAGCCCAGTCAAAAGAAGAACTGATTACAGACGTTAGTCCTAATTTTTTAGTTCACGCTTTGGTGTGCCTTGGACAGAGAATATTGGAAAAGCACAAATATATTCTTTTCAGTGAAAAGCTGATGTGTAGACTATAACATTAATTTCTATAATATTATGTAGTAATGCTGTCTTTTTGCATAATTCTGGACAACAGAAGCAGACAAATTTGGGTGCAACAAAATTATTATTAGGATGGTTTACAAGGAGCTAAACATAACCCCCTTAACATTGTGTTGTCAGACTATATTTTGCTTATGAAAAATGTTCTCTTATCATAGTGTTAGAATTGCTAGAGCTCAGTGGATTCTAAGGAGGTATAAAAATTAATTAAATAAAAAGTACTATGCTTACTAAAAAAGTAAGCATAGAAATAACAAATAATATAACCTACACTAAAAAAATAACAACATCAATCTTTTCATCACTGTTAAAAAATCTGGACTCTAATGCCGTATATAAACTGCACAATCCAGTTTAAACACTGGAGTGTTTATAATTTACAGTTTTTGTGTTATAGTGTTGATAAACCTAACCTCACAGTGGACAGGACTCATGAAAGTTTTTTTTTTTCATTGTCTATCCAGGTAAATCCTCACTTCCAGTTCCATTTTTGTTTCCAGTTCTGCACCTGTACACTTACCACGGATCATCGGTCAGCAACAGGGTAGAAAACATTTAAATCAGGCACTTCTATGAAAGCCTGCATGATGCTGCAGAGTAGTTTAATCTACATTTTCTCAGTGAGAGTCAGCTTTTAATCCATTTCATTTAGAATTCCAATTCAAGGTGCTAAACTGTTAAAAAATAAGATCATTCATAGTTTAACTAAATATTTTTACTTGCAGTCTATCAAGAAAACGGCTGATATTTTGATGTGTTTACCAACAAGATTGTTTTTTTTTTCTCTTCATCAACACTTCCTCCTTGATATATTGTCTTTAATGCCACTGTTGGCTCTTGTATAGGAAGTATAACAACAAAACATGAATTTAAGACAGTGATGGGAAACATAAAATAGCAATTTACACAATTTTTACTGCACCTGTATCCCAATAATTCATTTACAATAAAAAATTTGAGATTGGCATCAAATATTTACATTAACATAAGAAAAATAACTAATGAAACAATGCCATGGAATTTAAAAATGACATATATTTCATTTTTATTAAGCCATTTTCAGCCTATATATTGAAGTACAAAAAAAAATGTCTTCAAAGAAAAAGTGGAGAAGCACTAATTTCATAGCGGCATTAAAACGCAATGAAACAGAGGCTGAGATAAAACCGTATTTCCAGTGAGTGTGCACCAACTGACACAATAGTAGATGTTGTTTTCATACGCCAAGTCACATGATCACCACACGTTCCCACAGGCGACACATCTGAGCCTCGTGTCTCCAGTGCCTTGTTGTGTTGGGCCACGACAAAGCAGGGGAGGGGAACAGGCTGATAGCATTCGGCCCATCTGCTGACCGCTGATCTCTGCAGAGTGAGAGATGCATTCAGGAATAAATAGCAACCTTGGAACCTCTCTGAGCCACTCTCGTGACACATCTCTGCCTGGATGATTTCCAGCTCGCTGTCACAGAATGATTCGGGAGCGACTGACGCATCTCTTTAGTCCCGTATTTTAACTGAATTATCTGAATCTATAGTGTCTGCTTTACAAGTTATGATTTTTCAAAATCTTTTGTCTTTTTTCCCTTATTTCGTTTTTATAATCTGGTCATGATTTTTAATCCTGATAACATCAGCCAGCTTGCTACAGTGCTACTGTAATTCTGTTTTTGTTATCCTAACTATTTTATAGTTACTAAAATTTTGCAATACTTTATATAGTTTACATTACTATTACGTACAAAGACAAAATAATTGCTTGAGAGACAAAGTGGGCAAATCTCAACTTCAGCCAGAGAGCAAAGCATGCCATCGATTGACATGTTACAGGCTGTTGAATAAATTACAGGATTACGTTGGCAGGTGAAGCCTGGAGTAAACTAGAGACAAACCATCAGCAACAATGCAGTGCATGATGAGCGAATTGCTTCCTGCATGGAAGCAGTCTTAAATGCGTGAATGAGGATTTGGAAAGTAAAAATCTCAGCAAGGGATGGAGAATCAGCTCACGCTGGTGTGCATGCTCTCCTCATAATTAAACGCTATAACTGCTTAATGTGAACATATGTAACTCCTGCCAGGTTAAATCGTTATAATAAAAATACAGGAACACATGTAATAAATGCAGCATGTTTTAAAGCTTGTATTTGTGGTTTCCGTGATGGAGTGTTTCCCATTGAGGAGTCTGGATAACCTGTGCATCGCAGACTCAAAATACATTTCAGTCTCAAAGTCGTGCTGACTGACATGAAAACATGTGAGAATTTGTGTCCGTGAACGTGAACAAAGACAGTGCTTGTACGTGACCACTTCAACTTTTGCTATGAGAGCAGGCTGACAGCTGTAGCGTGCGTCAGTGAAGCAGTGTTATCATTTCAATGCTCTGTACGTTTTTGCTGGGATTTCATGCAAAGTCAGTAAGTCAGTTATCGATTGCCATTCTCCTGGGATGCTGAATTTCATGATTTGTGATGCAAGACTTGTTGGCACTGTTCTTTAAGACTTCATGCAGTAATTTTTAATCCCACAAAGCTGCTTGCCTTTGTGTACTGCTGGGATTTCACTGTCATGATTTTTCTTTTTTTTCACAAGTTACACTCTCTGATGGCTTTCTTTTTATTGTAGTGTTTCTGTCAAAAAGAAGGCAGTGCAGGGGCTTTGCTGTTATGGAAACAAGTTTTAAATGATAATTCAGGGCAATGTACTGTAAGAAGTGGGCTGATGATTTTCATAACAAAAAAAATACGCTTGATCTTGTAGGTTGTCCACAGTGAGTCAGGAGTGAGGTTTCTGCTTGTTGTCAGAGCTCTGGGAAACAGAGAGGGCAGCATGTCATTTTGCATCGTCAGGAGAAGGCTTTATAACAAATGTATTACCTAGCCTAGGGTGTGTGTGTGTGTGTTGTGTGTGTGTGTTTCATCTGCAATGCCTGACTGACTTTAGTGTTGAAGTGAGTCAGAAATAGACCTCTGAGCTCTCTGTGCATTTCTGGACGAAGGGATCAGAAGAGACAGAGATACTGAAATACCATGGACACTGTGTGTGTGTGTGTGTGTGTGTGTGTGTGTGTGTGTGTGTGTGTGTGTGTGTGTGTGTGTGTGTGTGTGTGTGTGTGGTGTTTGTAATTCATATTATGTGGTGCTGCAGCACCAAATCAGTGTATAAACATTTCAGCAAAGATGTTTTCAAATATAGTTTGAGGAAATAAAAAAAGTATGTTTTTTTTTTTTTTTTACCTCAATATCAAACCATCTCTGCTGATTCATTATCTCATTTTTCTAAAGCTTTGGTAAATCCATTCATATAAATAAATAGATGTAAACACTATGATGTCACTGATTACTTTTGCATTTTGCCCATTGTTTGTTTTTTTCCCCCTTAATAGCCAGAAGTACTTTAAAAAAATGACAGCTGAACATGGTAGTGTAATTAAAAGATGGGCAGACTTACACTTTTTTGGGGGGTTTTGGTTTTTTTTGGGAGCCAGAAGTGAGAACATTTGGACAAGAGTGTTTAGTAGTATGCCACCAGCTACAGCTAGCTTGCTTAAATAACACATTTCCTCCATAAATGATATGGATGCATCGCAGGGACACAGGTTCCTCCTAATTAGTGCTAAGTAGCATATAAATGAAATGCAAGAATTTCAAACAGGGCTGCTATTAAGTGCAAACTAAATGAAGAGCATTTTCCATCCTTCTTTTCCAAGGACCAGTATCATCGATGGCAAGTGACCTGATTCAAAGTATGACTCTAGTGCCACAAGGTACAGTGCAATGGCAGTGAGACACCAATATATACAGAAGTCAAATGTAACTTCAAAAGTAGTGTTAGTAGTGTTTTACCTGATGTTTTTAAGTAAAATTATAACAGAACGACTTAAAAC